AGCAGCAGCTGCAGCAGCAGCAGCAGCTGCAGCAGCAGCAGCTGCAGCAGCAGCTGCAGCAGCAGCAGCAGTACCAGCTGCAGCAGCAGGTCTTTAAGCTGTTTGGTGATTTCTAAGCTAACAGCAGATTTTTAAAATATATTCTTTCAAAAGAAATGTAATGGTGGAGAACCGGGTTGTGTAGAACCGGGTTGTGTAGAATCGGGTTGTGTAGAACCGGGTTGTGTAGAATCGGGTTGTGTAGAATCGGGTTGTGTAGAATCGGGTTGTGTAGAATCGGGTTGTGTAGAATCGGGTTGTGTAGAATCGGGTTGTGTAGAACCGGGTTGTGTAGAACCGGGTTGTGTAGAACCTTTTATCGCCTCGTATGGTTGACATTATTTAGTGATCTTGCAGCCGAATGCTTTCTGTGTTTCTGTGTCTCCACATGATGTTTTTGGTCTCATTCCAGCTGATTTGCAGAAAACTGTGATTTGACTTCTTTAAACATTGTTGCTTCCAGCTGCTTTAAACCGAGACATGAGACGAACGGCTTGTCATGTTAGGTTTGTGTCTCCGTCCCCCTCGTCCCCCTCGTCCCCCTCGTCCCGTCCCGCTGCGTGACGCAGTATTTCCCCATGTCTGCGCTACGCGTGCTGCTCTCTCTCCCCGTCAGTCAGGAAACCGGAACATCATCTTTTCTGGCCCAATGAACAAGCTGTAATGGAGAAGAAGTGGCAGATGTCCATTTTGTACTTTTTCAGCACTTGCATAATGAGAAGAGGCAACAATGCTGCTGAGAGGAACACAATGTGAAGGAGGCCGAGAGCCTTTTGTGCCAGACAGACCCAGTTTCAGAACAGAACCGTCCCAGAAGTGGAGCTGCAGGGTTGAGTTTGAAATGGAAATGAGTCCAGCGTTGTTAAGTGAAGCTGAATGAATGATGCCTTTTTATCTGGTATCACAAGGCTGAGGCATTAAGACAAAAACTGACACTTTCTGCCTTTTATTTCTCTTCTGACGACTGAATAGGAAGGAGGGAAACGGAGACGTTTGAAAAGCAGCAGCAGAGGGAACATCTGAAAGAATGAGGAGAGAAATATGACTCTGAAAGTCAATAACTGCTTATAGTCTGGAATAATCTGAAGCTCTACAGGTCCACAGAAAACCGTTAACTCAGCAGAAATCACCACCAGTTTTTGTAAAAAGAATAAAACTCTGGAAATGTGAGTTTGAATGACGTGGAGGAAGCGTCTGACCCTTCAGAGAATGAACTGTTTTTTTAACAGATGCACGTTCGAAAAGTTTAACCTGAAACTTGAATCCACAGGTTTGAATATTTGTGTTTATCTATGCGGTGAATATTTAGCTTCCAGATGAAGGAGGCAGATGAATCCCAGCAGCTGGTTTCTGGTGATTCAGTCATTCAATCTGCTTTTCCTTCAAACGAGGATGAACTTCTGCAGTGAATTTATTCAGTCCTGCAGGTGCAGCCAGTTATGATGGAGGATGAACTAGACTCATTTAGTTTCAGGAAGATGAGAAACTTCCTGTGTCGCCTGCTGGGAGTTTGATTTGAGCTCTGCTTGTATTTTTGAGGTTTTCGTGTTTATTTGGTGGCAGCTTGGTTTCCTTTTGAAATGCTGCCGTTTGATGTTGCTGGTTCTGTTTTGCAGGTTTCGGCTCCTGCAGTCCCAAATATTCATCTGATTTGTTTGTTTAGTTGCAGCTTCTGGATAAATTGACATGAAAAGAGTCTCTTCTTGCCGTCCTGTGTGGAAGCAAAGTGGTCTGATTTAAGACACAACTTGATTTGTTGTTGCTACTGACAGTTTCTGGACGTTCAGGATGAAGCTAAAGGAACAAGATGCTCCTTCAGATCTCCTTTTATTTGAGAGAGTCTTGTTTTTTCTTTTCTGCTGAAGGTTTAATAAGGAACATGAAACGGAGAGAAAAATGTTTCATGTATTCAAACATCAGAAGTTCAGGAAGTTTTCTGCCTCATTTCCTTTAAATCAGTAAAAGTTTTGCATTTAAAATGAATTTCTGCTGCTGCTTCCTCCTGTCCTATAATGCAAAAACTAAAAACAATCACATGCATTTGTTGGGACATTATTTAAATAATATTCAGCAATATTTATTTCAATCTGATGTTGCATTAATTTTTGCAAAGCTCTTGTGCTGCGCTGTGACTCCTGCGGTAGTTTTTGGTAGTTTGGTGACTCCTGGGAAGGTTTCTTGTTTTCTTTGTAGATAAAAGTTCTCAGTTTTGGTCATTTCAGTCCAAATCTTTGGAAATTGTTGTGTAACTTTTTCCATCCTGATAAAAAATGTTTCTATCCGTCTCCTTTGTGATTTTTAACATTGCATTTTTATGAGGTAGAACTGAAACATGATGCATATGTGATGTTTTCACCTGGGATCAGGTCAGTTTGAGACATAAGTGAGTCAAAAACATGCAAAACCAGAAGACATAAATCTACATGTGTTTCTTCCAGAAGGTGTTTTTGTTATCAGGCTGTTTTTTCCTCCTCATCCTGGTTTGTCTTTTCTAATTTCTTCGTTTCTCTCCTCCTGCTGTTTCCATCGCTCTTCACCCCGAGGCGCCACATTAAAGCAAAAGAGCTGGACTCGGCGCGACGCTTCGGTTCTGGTCTAATCCGCCCCTGCAGAACGCGCTTATTGAAAACTCAGTCATCTGAAGTCCTTGTGTTCTGCAGGCTTTGACCGCGACCCGCCTTGTGGTTTCACTGGACCTTCTGAACCGCAGAGTCACATTCAGTGTCTCGTCAGGTTCGTTTGCAGCTGCTGTTAATGTCAACCTGAGGAGAGAGAAGAGTCTGAACACAGTCTGTGTTTCTATGTGCCTTTAAATGCTGAATTTACTGAAGACCAGACTTCAGATGCTTCAGTTTAGATTTTAGATTTTGCACAAGATGCATTTTTCTCATATTCTGCACATCAGTTCCTCTCTACTCTGGTTTATTATCTTTGTTTTGCCAAAAGCATTTTAAATCAAATCTCTGCTTACGCTGCAGAAGACACACAAGCTTTCTTATTACCTGACTAAAACATATCCTGCCTTCGTCGGCTCGGGTCATCAAAACTCATATTAATCCAAATTTATTTCGTTTATTCATTTGATTGTTTATTATTTGGAAATTTACTTGACATTTACTAAATGTTTTTAAATCCTGGAGTTTCCATTCATCTCGTTATTTGGATTGTTACTCAATGTATTTCGTTATGTAATTAAATATAATGTAATGCATTGATTATTTAAAACAATGTTTTTTTTCTTTCATGCAAAAGTTCCAACCCAAATTTGTGTTTTTGTGTTTTTCATCAACCCGTGAAAACAGTGTTGGACGATTCAGGTTCATTTTGGCCTCAGCAGTTGATCTGCAGTTGTTCAGTGAAGATATTAGAGCCTAAACTTGCATCTCGGTGCGAAACGAGACGCAGCAAACAGACATTTACCACTTTAAAAGCTTCTCATGAATGAAGCGGTAAAACTTTGCAACCATCTGATGTTTAATAACCTGAAAAACAGAAAAATGAAACAATTTCCGTGTTGCTTTCAGATTGAAAATGTTTATTTGACTTTTGATCAAAATGTGATCAATTGCAATGAATTAATTACAGATCCTGCAATTAACTGCATTACTACAAAGTCCAGTCTCACTGTGTCCAATACTGGACAGAGACAGATGGACAGGATGGACTTCAGATACCGTCTCAGCTGCTGGTCTCACAGCAGGACTCATTTAGACTCAAATGAGTTTCTGTCTTGTTCACGTTTGTCGTCCAGCAAATCTTTTTGCTTCCCAGTGTTGGGATTATTTTAAAACAGGATTATTTTCATGGCTTAAAAATAACAAGAACAGGATCTGGACTGGGCTGCTCCATCCTGTCACTGGTGCTGAGGTAAAGTTTGCATCCTGTCCATTGAGTCCTGGTTGGATTGTTGGTCTGGGCTGGACATGATGTTTGCAGAGGTCATGTGACCTGCTGGGCAGATGGTGTCACGGTTCCCGGACTCTGAGGCTCGGTTCTGCCGCTGCGCCGTCCTCAGCTGACTCAACAATAATCTGTGGATAAGAGCAGGCCTGAAGGAGCGTCAGAATAAATAAAGATCAGGGGGTCGTAATTTAGGATTTAAAAGCACAACAGACAAATTAAACCTGACGGGGAATAAAACCATCAGCTTAAAGGATTTGGCTCTTTTAACGTTGCCTGTTTGAAAGTAACATGGAGCTGCTTTATTTGGGTCCGTTTCAGTTATTTTCCTGTGCAAACATTTAAAGTTATGCTGTGACATCCTGTATTCACATTGAGATGAAAAATGTTGCTTCATCCGACTCACAGCTGCCTTTCTGCAGCTTCTTTCTCCTCATGGAGGCTCATCAATCGTTAATGAGCGTTTCTATTCATCTAAAAAACCATTTTGCGTCTCGGATATAAACGCTTGAGAAACGATTCGTTGGGCTTGTTGAGCTGTGTTGCCTCCCCCTCCGTCTCCTTGTTAGCAGGATGGATGCCGTCTGCGTGACGTTCAGAGCCATCATCCTCGATCAGCTGAAACGATCGGACTGATTAATTATCCGTCATGAAGGGAAAGATGCGAATCGCAGAGAGGCCTGGTGGAGGATTGATGCTCGGCGACTTCTGCTGCTCATTCAGAGAACATTAACTGGAGGACGTTTCAAAGCTTTGTAAACTATTTAGAGATGCCTTTTTATCTGAAGCAGAATTAGACTAGTGGTTGTTAGTCGGTGTGTTTGTCCGCTGAGCTTCGCTCGGCTCGTTGCAGCAAACAAGAGATCAGATCAGATCAAACATCCTGTAATATTCCAAAGTGGAAACATTTTTTGTCCAGACCTCAGTCTGAACAGAACTGAACACAGCAGCAGATCCACAACAGACCGACTGAAAGAGAAAACAATCAAGACGCCATGTTGGCCTAGTCAAAGTCCAGCTGGTTCTGTGGTGTTTTTGACCTGTGTGTTCTGGTCCTGCAGCCGACCTGCTGGTCAACACGCTGTGCCTCCCCTTCACGCTGGTCTACACGCTGCAGGGGGAGTGGCGGTTCGGCAGCACGCTCTGCTTCCTGCTGCCGTACGCCCAGGTCCTCGCCGTGCACGTCTCCACCGTGACGCTCAACGTCATCGCCCTGGACCGCCACAGGTGGGTGGAGCCTAACGCATCAGGCCGCCAGACGTCGTCATCTGTTTGGTTCATTCTTTAAGCCTTTCTGTTTGATTCAGAGCTGAAAACCTCGTCAGGTTCAATAAAGCTGCTGATTGATTTTTGATCAATGATCTTTTTACAAATAAATTCGCCTTCGTCTCGCAGAGCAGATGATTGGAATAAAAAACACTTTTTGGCTTTTTGACCTCATGATGTTTGCAGTTTGTTTTGTAGAAAACAAAAAGAAACATTTTTAAAAATCTAGGAATAACTTTATTAAGATCGGATCTGACTGACAAACACATTTATTTTCAAGATTTTACTTTTAATAATAATCGTTTTCTTAAAGTTATTTTTCATTTTAAAAATATAAAAGGATTTTAATAGAAGTGAAAAATAAATATTTTGAGTTTTTCCTGGACGAGCACTTCCTGGTTTCCTGGTTCCTTCGTCTGATTGGCTGAATGTTGATCACTATATTAAATTATTCAGAACAGCAGGAAACATATTTTACTCACTTTGACATAAAAACAAGACCTGACTGTCATAATTTAAATTTGTTCTGCCTCCTGGAGGATTTCAGGCCACAGGATTTGCATCCAGAATTAAATTTTATTCCTGGAAAGGATTAAAGTTTAAACACTGTTATATTACATTCAGTTCATTGAGATTCTCAGGAGTGTCATGATGAGTTTCATCTCTTTCTACCAGCTGGGGAGAAATCTGGAGTTTCTGCTTCTGAGTCAAGCCTTATTAATATTATTATTATTATTATTATTATTATTATTAATTATTATATTATTATTATTATTATTATTATTATTATTATTATTATTATTATTATTATTATTATTATTATCATTATTATTATTATCATCATCATCATTATTATTATTATTATTATTATTATTATTATCATCATTATTATTATTATTATTATTATTATCATTATTATTATTATTATTATTATTATTATTATTATTATTATTATTATTATCATCATCATCATCATCATCATCATCATCATCATCATCATCATCATCATCATCATCATCATCATCATCATCATCATCATCATCATCATCATTATTATTATTATCATTATTATTATTATTATTATTATTATTATTATTATTATTATTATTTGTGTTTTGTTTTTCCATGCATTTCTTCCTTTCATCTCTACTTTCCCCTTATTTATGAATTTTTATTTTCTCTGTAATTCCAGTTCAGTGTTTTGAACATAACCGCAAATAAAAGTTTTAAAATGGAAAATCAACAAACATTGGCAGTTAATAAAAACTTTACTCACATTAGGATTTATAACATCATATTCTGTTAAATGCTCTTAAATTCCTTCAGGTTTTCGCAGTTTTTCAGTTCTGCTCAATAAAATGGCGTTCCTCAAGGGTTCAGTCTCAGACCCATTACATTTCTAATGTTTTTAAATCTCAGTGAATAAAACAGTTAACATGCATCGATTTAAAACACAAGTTCTCATAATTTGCTTTTCCAGGAAATTAAAAATTAACTGAATTATTTGTATTCTGAGTATATTTTTGTTTTAGATTTTACTTTCTTCATTTGGCAGAATTGCCTTATAAGAGGCATAATTTAACTTAATTAAGTTGTTTTTGCTTCATTTAACACAAGTTTGGTTTTATTGGACTGAGATCAGGAAAATAAAAACATCCTAGTTTATTTAATTTGAGCCTCTATTTAATGTTGCTGCTTGTTTGGAAGAAAAATGCCTTTAATTGAATAAAATGAATCGGTTTAGTTGACTTTGTTTGCTGCAGAAAATCCACCAGGCAGCAAAGAAACGCTTCTTCAGTCCCGGACCGGAAAACCTAAAAATGCTGCTGCTGCTTAAAGGCCCGTTAAGTTTTCTCTAATTCTTAATCCAAACCTTTGTTGAATGCTTTGCGTTCAGAATGATTTAAAGGAGTTCCCTGCTGTTGGGAAATGAAAGCCTATCTTTTAAACCACGATGTCCAACACCGGCTCCAACCAACCCGACTCGTTTCTGTTCAACACTTTCCAGCTCCGGAGGCTGGAGGAAACTTTTAATCTCACCTTTGCACAGGTTAGACTCTGGCCTCTGCTCAGGTGTTCTCGCTTTTCGTGCTTCTGCTTTGGCTCCAGAGGGAGCGACGGCAGCTTTTAATCCACAGCAAACAGATGGGCGGCCAGAAGACCGCAGAGGTGCACTTGGCTGACGAACGTTACATTCGCTGAATACAAATAAAAAGGAGGAGGAAAAGAGCGAGCGGTGGAGACGATAACGTCTCCGGCTGCTAATCTTTATGCTCACTGGAGGAAACAACTGAAAGTCAGTTTGTCTGTTTCACCTCCAAAATAAGAAGCATCCAGACACGATTACTGCAGAGTTCATGCTCTGATTTCATTGCCTTTAGATCCAACAGTTGAATCATTTCATAACTTTGGAGATTCTGCAGCATTTTCACTAAATCAGATGAAAAGACTTTCTGAATTGAGGCTGTTTATCAGGCAGATCGATGAGTTTTCTCAGGGTTTCATCAGGCGTTGATCCTCCATCGTCATGTCGGCCTCAGTCCACCTGCTGCACCTGAACCAGGTGACATAAGAACCTGCTGCTGGGCTCCTGGTGCCTCCCAAACTACCGACATGGGTCGGGTCGTTGCCCTGGTTACGGTTCGGGTCGTTGCCCTGGTTACGGTTCGGGTCGTTGCCCTGGTTACGGTTCGGGTCGTTGCCCTGGTACGGGTCGGGTCCCAGAACCGGTGATTATTCTTTGCATGTTTCTCCCACGACGTCTCACTGACCTTTGACATTTTTATACAATGTCAATAAAATGTTTATTAAAAATGCCAGAAGGTATTTGAGTGTTTTTTTTTTTCTTCTGCTGTTCATGTTTACATCAGCTCCGTGTTTTTCCACTAACCGGTTCGGCCCATTTCTGGACTTCCTGTCGGGTCACGATTTCAGCTCTAAGTGGAACTGAGTTGCATTAAAGTCCTTCATTAGCTTTTCACCTGCACCTGTTCATCTGCTCTTTATTTATGCATCACAGTGCAAACCTCTCAGTGAATAACTTGGCTTCTCTAATGAGCTGCAGCTGGAATCACAACATCTGCAGCTCTGGCTCAATACGGTGACATAGTCATATTTTTATCATAGTTAAGCTTCATTAGTTTTCCTAAGTTGGTGATAATTGGAGAATAAAGATCAGGATCTGAGTTTAACTGGTTTCAGAAAACGTTAAATTTAGAGATTAAATTACCTTTTAATGAGTGAAATGATATTGATGCAATGAGAAGCTTCTCATTTATTGGCCATCGACGTTAGAAGACATTCAATAGTCGTGGAAAAAATGTTAGTTTGTTTATGAAGGGTCAAAATATTAGCAGAGAAAACATCTAAGATTTCACAAAGCACTGAAATCGGGTTGAGAACTGAGCAAAATAAATAACTTATGTTTTTGTTTCCATGTCCTTCACATCATCTGAAACCTTTGAATCCATATCTTTATATTCAGACGATGGTTCTGTTTGCTCCATCGTCTGACATCTTCTGGTCTTCGTTGTGCTGCAAAGAAAACCAGAGCAGTGATTCTGCAGCCAGTTCTGACTGAAGCTGGTGGCTCTGCTCTGGATTATCAAACCGCTGGGATGCATTATAAATAACAAGCTGTTCCCACAGAGACATCAGATGAATAATCCATCCTGCTTTTGTTGCTCCTCTGGCAGGCTGCAGGTTAAGTGGCAACATTACAAGGGTGGAGCGCGTTCCTGCCGCTTGTTCATGAAATTCCTATCAGCTGCAGCATCCATTATTAATCTGAGGCCATCATTAGTGTCAGTGTGTGTTTTCCAAGCTGGACTCAGCTGTGTGTGTGTGTGTGTGTGTGTGTGTGTGTGTGTGTGTGTGTGTGTGGGGTGTGTGTGTGTGTGTGTGTGTGTGTGTGTGTGTGTGTGTGTGTGTTTCAGGTGCATCGTGTACCACCTGGAGACCAGGATGAGGAAGGATGTGTGCTTCGGGGTGATCGCGCTGACCTGGGTGCTGAGCGCCGTCCTGGCCAGCCCCATGGCCATCTTCAGAGAGTACGGCTCGTTTGTGCTGGACCCGGGCCACACGCTGCAGGTACCACCACATCAGGAGCCTCCACTCTGGAGAAGCCGAGAAAAGACTCACCGAGCGACTGACCAGAACATTTTAAACATCACATCATCAGACAGAACAAAACTTAAGATCAAAAATATAATATCACGCAAAAGAACATTTTTCCAATCAGTTTCTTACAATAAAACTTAAGAAACTTTAACAAAAACAGAAATTTAACTTAAATAAGAGAAGAAATACTTTAGAATAAAATGAGAAAAAAAAGGTACAGAGAAGTAAAAATACTCCTAAAAGTACTTCTTTTTTTCAAAATGTAAGTTACAGTGATTCCCCTCTCGCTCTCTCTCTCTCACACACACACACACACACACACACACACACACACACACACCACACACACACACACACACACACACACACCCCACACACACACACACTGAAGCAGCAGACATTTCCCTCAACCTGTGCTTTCATCCTTTTCTTCCTCCTCTCCTGACTTTTCTCCTCCCAGTTTCTTCTCCTCTCCCAGCTGCTGCTGCCTCCTTCGCTCTCGCTTTTATCTTTTTTACCGCAGATTTCTGCACTTAGTGTAATTCCTCCACCTGGATGCTGCAGAGCTTCACTTTTTCACGTTTTCCTTTCATCTTCCTGAGAAAAAGAAGCGCTCTGTGTCACTTTCCTCATGAAAGTGTGAAATATTTAACGATCGTCGCTGCTGTGCAGAGCAGCTTGATTAGAATAAACTAGGAACGAAAGATTACGAATCATTTTCATTGTTTTTATCAAGCCTTCATTTCTGCATGTCCTGCTGCCAAACAGATGGACGTTCATGCAGTCTTTGGTTTTCATCTGCAGTTATTAACACTTTTTGAGGGTCTTTATGCTTTTAATACTCAGTTATTTGTCAAAATGTCTCTGCTTTTTTTTCTTTAACCAAAGTGACAAAGATCAGGGACACAAGTCTTTAAAAATGATCTTTTTTAACATTGTTTACAACAAGCAGAGAAAATTTCACCAAAGATTTTAAAAATCCAAACGTCCAAATGATCTGTGGTCCAGCTTCTCCAGACTTTCCTGCAGATTTTCGCAGTTTTCCTGTAAACCTTCTGAACCAAACTTGTGGTTCTGTTTCCTCAGTTCTGTCGGGAGAAGTGGCCCGGTAAAGGGACGGACGGAACGCTCTACAGCATCTCCATGCTGATCCTGCAGTACTTCCTGCCGCTGTCCATCATCTCCTTCGCCTACGCCCGCATCTGGTCCAAGCTGCGCGGCCACGTCAGCCCGGCGGAGAGCGGCGTCAACAGCAGCGCCAGCTCCGAGCGCCACCGCCGCCGCCAAAAACCACCAAGATGCTGGTGACCATGGTGGTGGTGTTCGCCGTCTGCTGGCTGCCCATCCACGCCTTCCAGCTGGCCACCGACATCGACAGCTCCGTGCTGGACATGCGCGACTACCGCCTGCTCTACACCATCTTCCACGTCATCGCCATGTGCTCCACCTTCGCCAACCCGCTGCTGTACGGCTGGATGAACCGCAACTACCGCGCCGCCTTCCTCGCCGTCTTCAAGTGTCGCAGAGACCGCGGCGGCCGGCTGGACAGCATCCACCCCGTCGGCGGAGGGGCGGCCGGCGCGGCGAGGGCGAAGAAGATCGTCCTGGAGACGCAAGACCCGGTCTCCACGCACCTGAACGCCACCGACGTGTGACGCTCACCGGAAGACGCAACGGACGGAGATGATGGAGGGATTAAAAGTTTTATCGTCTGGAAATAGAGGAGGACATGAAATGATGGAGGACCAGAGAGACAGAAGAGCAGAGAACGACTCAGAGACAAGCAGCGTCTCTGAGGACGTGATGGAGGAGGAGGAGGAGGAGGAGGAGGAGGAGGAGGAGGAGGAGGAGGAGGAGGAGGAGGAGGAGAAGAGGCCTCGTTTGGGGCGTCGGTTCAAGTCAAATTCATCTCCATCTGACATGTTGATGAGTGAAACAGTTCAGCTTGGTGATGCATCCTGGGAACAGGCTGAACTCTGACCTCTGCATGCGAAGCATTCATTTAACCTCGAGTGGCTTATTGAAGTCCTGCAGCGATGAGGCTGCTTCCCGCCGCAGGAGAAACACGCGGTCTGTGCGTCTGATACGTGAAAGCTGGTCGAGAGGGAAGGGTTTTGTTTTTTAGAAACAAAATGTTTGTGTGATTAAGAAAAACCTGTTAAAACTAAAACGAGCTGGAAATGATCCCTGCTTTCTGCCAACATATGAATGTTCAGCCAGACTTACGCTTTCATAGCAACTTCATTATTTTTGATAAAATGTTTTGCTAATTTCTGCTGTAAATTTGTGATTCTGTCCGGCTTGCTGAAGAAACGTGAGCGCCGGAGTGTTTCTGATTATTTCCCGTTTTTGAAGACGTTGGTGTTTAATGCAGAGCTGATGCATATGCAGGCCGACCCGGTAAACGATACCGGGTCACCGGCAGCCTGATGACGGACAGGAAGGAAACTTCATTGATCCTGCAGGATTGTTTCTGTTGCAGAGGAACAGCATTTAGTTTTTTTCCTCAACAGATCCAGATGGTTGGACAATATTGCCCTCCTGTGTTTCCTGTTTTCCTGCAGCTTATTGATATTTTTCCAGTTGCATCGATCAAGAATTTCTGATTTTTAACATTTCAAAATAATATCCTATCAGTTTTTTATTTATTCCAAAGCATTATTAATGTCAGGATGTCAGACATCTTAAAACAGATGAGTTTTTTTTTTTCCTGCAGCTTTGAAAAATTCAGAAACGTCCCTTTAAAAGAGCAGCAGGCCCACAGCATTACACATCCTCCACCCTGCTGAGCACTGAGACTCAAATCCAATGACGAGTTTTTTGCAAATATTTCACCAGTTAAAGTTTCTAGCTTGGCAGAAATTATGCCCACAAGATCAAGTAAAATAAATGATTTCAGAAAATAATGACACAAAAATGTAAATAATTTCCCAAGCAAACATTTTATTAAACAATAGCAAAGATATTTTCCTCAATCCAGGTTCTTGACCATCATTATATCTACAAGCCCAAATAAATTGTTGCAAAAAATAAAATCAATATGAATAAAAACACTTAATATCAAGATGATGACTATGAAAAAGAGCCGGCTAAATATTAACCAATGTGACTTTGGTTCCTTTGTTCAGACGTCAGACGGACTTTGATCCGACCTGCTGAGTGATGATGATGATGTCTCCTTATTGATCTTCATCATTGCTTTGCACAGAAACAAAGCTCCCTGCATGAGTTTAATTTCTAAATGGCGCTCGCTCCATTGTTCAAAATGTAATTAAAAAAGGGATTTAATTATGAGTTGAAACATTAATTGCTTCATTCATCATGGATGGATGAAAGAATAAAAACATGAAGGAGTGAAGTCAGAAGATGAACCAACCAGAAACAGAAAAGGGAACAAAAAAACTGAAACGCCTGATTTTCCTGAACTCATCGTTCATTTTCACTCCGTTTAGTTTTAGAAATTATTCTAAAGAGTTTTTTCTAGGCTGAAATAATTACATTTTACCACAAAGTGCTTAAGTTTCAAATTTACCTTTAAAAAATAAATACCTTACATTTTTTTTTAATAGAAGAAAAATGTTTAAATTTTTTGCTCATCTTTAGTTTCTAGAGCTTTTGATGTTGCAACATTACAACTTTTTAATAATATTTTGTTTTTATTGAATCTTTTAAAGCACAATTTCACAAAAAAGGAGGAAACCTTGTTTGTGCATAAATATTTACTGTAATATATTAAAAAACATATTTCTAAAGCCTACCAAAGCATTTATTTATACTCTCAAAAACACAAACAATAATGTTTCCCAGATCTAAACTACCTTTAGAAAAAAATAAAAAAAAATTCATCAACCATTTATAGAAATAATTATGTTTGGATATTTTGTTTAATTTGTCCCAATTGTCGCCAAAATGTCAAAAGTTAAAAAACGCAACAACTATAACTTGACGATATTTTCCTGTTAATGATAAAAACAATTTTTTAGGTATTTTTAGTTTTTTTAACTGCATGGCTGTGAAGCTTCACACGGCAACCAACAAGTTGAAATAAAAACATTTCAAACAGGAATCCAAACTGCACACACTGACTGCATTTACATCTTTCCAGAGTTATTGATACCATCATCAGACAAATATGGTAGAAAGTACTAAAAATAACAATCTTTCTCTTTTCTGATGACAGATAGAATAAAAACCTTCATCTCCAGCAGACATTTAGTGTTGAAACTCAACAGAAATGAACTTTTATCTGATGAATGTTCACATTGGGTTATATGAAATATTTAAATTAAAGGTTTCAATCCTGAAATCTTGATGGTTAAATCTGGTTAAAAGTTTTCCTGCTGTGTCTGTAAGCAGCAGGATTTGGTCAGAAAACCTCTAATCTGCATTTATGTTTACATTTTTACAATTTACTGAAGGTAAAAATCCTTTTATCCTTTCAGCGATTCCAGTTAGAAAACAGTGAAACTGACCTGATGCAGGTTATTGGGTCCATGCTAACAGGTTTAACTACATTTCTCTTCTTTTGTTCTTTTTGTATAAAAAACATTTACGGTGGCTCAGAAGGGTCAAGAAAATGCAACAGAAGAGACGCTAAAACAAAAGTTGTGCATCAACATGGTGCTGACTTTGGCAGCTGTTGTTTCATTGTGGCTTTTGGATTTTGTTGGCCCTTCTGGGCCACCGTAAATAATGCAGAACATTTAATTATTGTAGTTTTATTTCACGTTGCTCTAATAAACATCCTCTCCTTTTTGTTCCTCCTTCTTTTGGATCAGCGTGACGGACTGGAAGTCAAACTCTTCGAATTAGTTTTTATTCCTGTTTTTGCAGTGAAACGCTTCGTCTTGTCTCTGCAGATGTGAAATATTCTGAGGTTTGTGGCAGGATGACCACAGATGCTGCTTGACCTTCTACCAGCTGTGAATGTAAACCACTTTGTAACATGGCTGTAATGTTGTGTAGAGTTCATTATTGTAAAGTTGTTGTAAATATGAACTGTGTGAGCGACTGTAATCAAGCACAACCTGTTGGCCTTTACTTGTGTCCAACAACAGATGTACTATTGTCCAGCACATCATCGTCTCCCGGCTCTTTCTTTCTTACTGGTTTCTATTCACATTTTCTGGTGTTATTGATTCATATCACACCTTCCAACACATAAAAACAAAAAGTAAAATGAATAAAAAGCAGATATTTTACCAGAGTCCTGAAGATTCGGAGTCGTTAGATGCTGGATCTGATTCAAATATGCTGTTTTTATTGATCTTATGGATCAATAAAAAAGATTAAAACTTTTCTAAAACACTTTGTTTCATCATTCTTGAGCCGTAATCATCAAAAAAGGCTTGAAATATTAATAAATGAGTTTTGCTTCCTGAAAATTGTAACAAAAACTGATGATCTTGACCTTAGAAAGACTTTAAAGCATTAAAAGTTTAATCCATTTTTTATACATAGATTCCAGAGGGAACCTTTGTATTTACATGTTTCTGGTACGACGGTAAACCTGACGCACAAGTAAGATCCACTAGCTGCGTTTCTTGGCACACTGGGGGTTAATTTCTGCTTCGATCTGATTGGACGCTTTGAAAGATTATTATTGTGTTCAATAATATTCAAATATTCTCCGTTCTTTTACTTCTTGACCCATCGTTAAAATCTAATATAATAACTCGACCTTCACACATCCTTCCACTTTTCACTTTCTGCCAAAAGCTGAAAAGTGCGGCAGGACGTGGCTTCATTCATCATAAAGTCTCTATTCTGTATAAAAATCTTTCATCGAGGTGGAAAATGTTTAATTAAAATTCATCTAAAGGACACTTTCTTGAATGACTTGGGAGTTTAAAGGTGATTACCCATAATGCACTGCTTCTATTAGGGCTCTCTCTGTAAATACACACGGATCAAAAAGTTCAAACTCATCTGTTGTTTTAGTTTCTGGTATTTTCCTCAAACTTTCGTTCTTCAAGAAAAACAAGAAGCATAAATGTTTTATTCACAAAGTAGTGAAAATACAACAAACATTACGAACTGAGAAAAAGAAAAAAACAGGTATTGATCTACAAAATAAATAACAATAATAAATAATGAACAAGAAGGTGAACATTAAAAAGTTTAACAAAGACAATAGAACAGAAATGTCATCATTTAGCATCGGCCGCTTTTCTACACTTTCACACACTAACATTTATAATCGCTGTCTTAAATCAAGATCAGTAAAGATGGCCGCCATCCGTCCTGCATCAGTTTGAGCCTGGTTGTGATTTTCTTTGGATGTTTGTGAGTTTTATCCCCATAAAGAGCCTGTTGAGCTGAGTGGGAGCACTGGGGAAAACACAGTGACATGATATTTGCTGTGATTGGAGAGAATTGAAGTGCATACTCTGCGGTATAAAAGTGACGTTTTGCTTGGAGAAAAGACCCTTCGCATTTCCTGGAAAAGATTTCGTTCTGTGTCTAAATGTGCAGGTAGAAAGAAACCATTTGGGTCAACAAGCATTCACTGAAAATGACCAATCAGGCGGTTTCCTGATCACCGGTTTGGTTTGGTTCTGCAGTGACTTATCCAGCTATATATTCACTGCTCTCACACTGGAGCTGACAATAAACCTTTAAGTCTCTTTTATTCGTGTGGAAATGTTTCCTTGGA